TTTTGGTTCCAATCTTGCCTCCCAAAGTTCGAAATTTCGTCACGCCATCTTGTCATTGGTCTGGCCCTTGGCCTCTTTATGATATCTATAACCCAGTCTGTTACTTTTTTTGTCCATCTGTCGCCCTGTCTCCGACATATATGACCTGCCCATTGCCATTTTTTTCTTTTTGATGATCCCAAGTATACACTCCACTTTTGTCTGTTCCCTGATCCACGTCGCCCTCATCCGATCTCTTAGGCTAATTCCTAGCATCAACCTCTCCATCCCTCTCAGGCCACTTATTAACTTCCTCTCCAGTAATTTGGCTGTAGTCCATGTTTTTGATCCATTGGTCATAACTAGGAGGACGCACTGGTTAAAGACTTTTCATTTTCAGCATAATGGTAAGGAACCCCTTCGTATGCTACTGTGTCTGCCAAAAGCGCTCCAGCCTAGACTGATGTGCGCGCGCGTGTAGATTCTATATAACTCGACGTAACAAAACAATTTGTCATCCTAACATGATTTAATATAGCTCACATACACTTAACATACTCGCCCATATCAACATACTTGAAATGTAAACATAACTTAACATTCACCTCCACATCTTTCCATATCGTCTTAAAGTAACTCAACAGACTTCAGATACATTGAACACATTAACCCACACCAAGTCAACATAACAAAAAACCCACACCTCTATGCACTTCTGTATCATCATATAACATACCTCTCCATACATTATTTAACATACACGTTGCATATTTTTCCATATCAAGTCAGGATAATTTAACAAACTTAACACGCATTTATCATCATCTTAACATACACCTCCATATGAATGAACAAACTTGGTATTCACTTCACATACTCTCTCATATCAAGTCAGTATAACTTAACAAACACAGCATCACTTATCATCAATTAAACATACACTTATACATTCATGAGTATTCATCAACCTGCCATCAACTTTGCAACGTGAGGCCCCCAAGACAACGGGTGATCAACATTCCTGAGGTTGCAGAAGTGGCATGCGGCAAGCACAAAATGTTGCACGTTGCGCATTTTTGAAAGGTTGCTAGAGTTTAATAACCTCCTTGATTACAGAATATTAACCCTTATCACCATCTACATATGGTTGCATAATTATACATAATTTTTTTTTTTACTCCATTTACTGTTGTACAAATAAAATAACATAAAAAGGGAAAATAAGCATGAGATTTAGATATGAAAAAGACACTAAATTCACGTAAGGGATTCGTGCTTTCCCTTTCCTCCGCGCGTGAGGAAACCGCTGCAATAAGCAGGACAACCAACGACTGGGTCCTTGTCCTATGCATCATTCGCCCTCTGCTCTGCTGTGTCTGTCTGTCTGTCTGTCTGTCTGTCTGTCTCTGTCTGTCTGTCTGTCTCTCTCTCTCTCTCTCTCTCTCTCTCTCTCTCTCTCTCTCTCTCTCTCTCTCTCTCTCTCCCTCCCTCCCTCCCTCCCTCCCTCTCCTTCCCTCCCTCTCCTTCCCTCCCTCTCCTTCCCTCCCTCTCCCTCCCTCCCTCCCTCCCTCCCTCCCTCCCTCCCTCTCCCTCCCTCCCTCCCTCTCCCTCCCTCCCTCCCTCTCCCTCCTCCCTCCCTTCCTCCCTCCCTCTCCCTCCCTTCCTCCCTCCCTCTCCCTCCCTTCCTCCCTCCCTCTCCCTCCCTTCCTCCCATCCCTCTCCCTCCCTTCCTCCCTCCCTCTCCCTCCCTTCCTCCCTCCCTCCCTCTCCCTCCCTTCCTCCCTCCCTCCCTCTCTCTCTCTCCCTCCCTCCCTCTCTCTCTCTCCCTCCCTCTCTCTATCTCTCTCTCCCTCCCTCCCTCACCCTCTATCTATTTATTTATCTATCTATTTATCTCCCTCTCTCTCCCCCCTCCCCCCCCCCCTATCTCTCTCTCTCTCTCTCTCTCTCTCTCTCTCTCTCTCTCTCTCTCTCTCTCTCTCTCTCTCTCTCTCTCTCTCTCTCTCTCTCTCTCTCTCTCTCTCTCTCTCTCTCTCTCTCTCTCTCTCTCTCTCTCTCTCTCAGTCTACAACCTCAAAACCAAAACTAATTCCGAATAAAACAAAAACAAAACGCAAGCTATCCTCTCCCTCCCAACCCCTCTGCCCCTCTCCCCACCACCATATAAAAAATAACAAAAACCTAAACCACAGAAACTAAATTAAAATCAGCCACGAATAGAAAGAAAGGAAGAAAAGGTAAACCACCATCCGAGTCGCCGCTGCTGCTTCGGCTGACCTTTGTTATGTATGAAGGTCACGCGAAGCCGGGGACTGTCTGTCAGTCAGTCAGTCACTCACTCACTCAAGTCACTTACTCACTC